ATGGTCTTGCGAGCCTGCAGCAGCAGGCGACAGCTGCAAGTTGTTCTGTCGGGCCCGGGGAAGTGATCGCTTAGATGCGGGAAGCCGTGGTGGAGCAAGAGGTATCTCGGGTGCACATGCCTCGCATAGATGTGGCAAAACTGGCCGCAGTGCAGCAGCAATCCAAAGACTCATCTCGATCTAGCATGGCTGCCACCGGACAGGAGACTTTCTTGCCGGTGCCGCTGCCTGGAGTGGAAGCAGCAGATGCCATCGACACAGTCTCAGACACTTGGCGAAAATTGGCTAAGCCATTGGGATGGGGGATCTTCTGGGAAGTCGCACGCAGGCAACGGTGCAGATGCCGGCGCCTGACGCAGTAGCCGAGGCGGGGAAAGTGCGGTCATGCAGTGCTCCAGGTTCATTTGCGAGTCTTCTGAGACTTTTGATTTTGGTTGTGCGAAAAACTGATACCATCGGTGTGCGTTTGTTTTTGTGTGAACGCTAGCAAGGCAAGCCGCAACGAGCCATCTGCGGCCGAAGAGGCGTCGGCAGATGGTCTTGCGTGCCTGCAGCAGCATGCTTTGTTCGTTTTCCGTCGTGTCCATTGTCACAGCTGCTGGCAGGAAGCCGTGGTGGAGCAACAGGCGACTCGGGTGCACATCTCACTTCGATCCAGTAGCTAGCATGTCGCGATCCGAGGCCAGCGGCGAAGCCGACAAGCCTGCACTTGCTGAGGCAGCTGTCACCGGACAGGAGACGGTCTTGCCTGCGCCGCTGCCTGCTGAAGTTGAAGCAGATGCTGTCGACACGGACACTTGGCCAAATCATTGCAGGATAAGCTATAGAAGCTTCTTTGTAGTTCATGCACAAGTCCCTGTCCTTCCGCTTCACTCTAACTAGACTTGGCGGGGAGGCAACGGTGGAGATGCCGGAGCCAGAGACAACAGCCGAGGCCGGTGAGATATAGTCATGCAGTGCTACGGAGTCACCTTTGGGTCTTCTAAGACGTCTAATTATTCTGTGGGCTTGTGAAAAAATCGGGGTGCAGCTGACCTGGTGCATGCCACAAAGGCCAGCTGCAGTGAGCCATCTGCGGCCAAAGAGACGCCTGCGAATGGTCTTGCGAGCCTGCAGCAGCAG